CATCAACCTAGGTGCCTGAATGACTGCATGGACCAGACTCTCCATTTCTACCTGTACCCACCCACCCCCACCCCATACACACACATACCAATCACACACACAACACTCTCACCAACATTATTGACTAGGAAATGCCTGAACTCTTTCATGAGAAACATCTATAGTGTTTCTGTTTTCAGTAAACACATTTATAGGTCTATTTGTTAAAAGCCTAGTCTACTTTATTTACTACAGTGGATAAAAGAGGGGCTTCTAAAAGCAAAGCTGGCGTGGAAAGATGAAAGAAAAGGCTATTTTAATAAACTAGGGGAGATACATTGATAGTTTACATAAGGGTAGTAATGGTGAACTTGGTAACATATGCCCAGATTCAGAGTACAGTTTGAAGATAGAGCCAATATGGACCAACGTAGCAGATACACGACCTGTCTATTTCATCTCAATCCTACTGAGGAGGCTTTTCATGGGAACAGAAGGAGCTCCGAAGTACTTTCCCTGAAAAGGTACGTGATACATCTGAGGAAGCCAAAACTTGTGTGGGCAATAGGGTAGCTACACTGGAACTTGTGTGCTCTACCAGAGATCACTGGTGAACATTTCCACTAAATGGATGTGAGTCACAGAGAAAGAGAAATAGCACAGACTTGTCTTGGGCTCTCTTTAGTTGGCTGCCCAGAGGAAAGCGAGAAGCCTTCAGCAGAAAGGAGGAAAGGACACAGCATAAGAGGTTGTGCTCAGGGAATGTGGTACATTAAGGGGCTCTTGGGAGATTCCATCACTAGAGCTCAATCCTTAATCCACATAAATATACATCTCTTCTAGATAGAGGAATCTCCCAAGAGTCCCTTAATGTGCCACATAAGAAAGACAAATGTTTTATATAGAGAAGACCTCTCTACCCCACCACAAGCCAGGGAGGTCACAATCTGGCGATCAGGTCAGTGGTGGAGTGGGTAGTCAGCATGGTGGTAGATAAACAGAAAAAGATGAAGTCAATACACATCCCTTCTGCTTTCCCATTGCAAGTCTCCAACCTAATGCGGACCCAAGCTGAGCAGGAGAGAAATTTTTGCATTAAATCAGGCTTAGAATTTTACTAGTACTTTGGATAATGCATCCAGAAACCCTGAACTAAATGTGTGCTTGTGGTTTGAATGAACTGTAAGACTCTCTCCATTTCTAATAATGAGGATAAGGGTCAGGAGATATGCTGACTTTTCTTCTTGAAATGGGAAGATTAAGCCACTGAATAACATTTAAAGAGACCACAGGAAACAAATACAATAATGTCTTGATCGTGTTATGAACCATGCTTGTTCAACACAGTGGTTCAATTCATGGCATATGAAAATCATGGAAATGACATATTGAAAAGAAGCTTGGAAAGCAGTGGGCCCAGGCCATCCTGCTTCTCTTCTGACTCGGGAAAATGTGGCTCCATCATGACAACTTAAAGAATAAGAAAAGGCATTGCAGCTATATTTATAAATATCTAACAAAATATTAAAGCATATGATGTTCCTCTTCAGTTTTGAGCATGTTATCTACAAGAAGTTCTGTCTACATTATTTAAAGTGTTTTCTATTAAAATAAAGAAACACAACAAAAGACAATTCAGAAATGTTTCTAGAGTTTTATTCCTGTCTTCACCCCATGCTCTTATTTGTTCCATGAATATTCTCCAATGGTAATGGGAATTCTACACACAAAATATCCCTGTGCTTGCTCAAAATTCTGGTCTATGGATCTTGATTTCATTGCAGATAAGAATGTGTGTGTGTGTGGGGAGGGGGAACCTAGAGCTTCGTGTTTACTGTATCCATAACACAGTTAATCTGAGACACTGCAGAGGTCTACAAATTCAGAAGACTTGAAAATAATTTCTTTGATATAATGAAAACCATTTTCTTTAACTGTATTTCTTGGCCATGGTGGCAGGAATCAGATGCCTCAGATTACCATAGCAGTTTTCTCCCCACATGTAATCTAGAACCCTTTAACAAAGGCTATTTCTCTACTCAGTATGATTTTAGACAAATCTCGTCAAATCGACCTTATGAATTATGTGAATGCCATTGCTCAGAGATTCCACTGGAAATACATTGTGGCTCTGCACACATACACTTCAGATAAATTAAAAGTTTAAAATGTATGAATTGGGGATATACATGTTTAGGTCACTCCCATCAAAGTTGGAAATTGTCTTTTGTAAGAACATGGATTAAAACTGCTAGATGGAATGGGGAAGAGCAGATCACTCTCTGAGCATCTATGTGCTGTGGATTGTAGTCCCTCACAGAGGGGGCCTGAGAAACACAAATATTTTATGCCAGATATTTTGCCAGTTGTATAGGAATTCAATGCACTTGCAGATGATCCTCTGGTCAAACTATATTTAATGCATCATTTTTCTCTAGTGAATTCCCCTCCTTGAAAAAATAGTGGAATGAAAGATTCTACATTGCATCCATGAGTCTTAAGGATAGTTTTGCAATGATTTAATGAGTGTCAAATTTTTATAGCAATATTTGATAACATTATTTCATGAGTATTTGGGAAAGCATGTGCTTAAAAGCAAACAAATAAAAATGGGAATAATAAACATGATGATTTGTACAGTCTCTTTCTTTCTTTCTTTCTTTCTTTCTTTCTTTCTTTCTTTCTTTCTTTCTTTCTCCTTCCTTCCTTCCTTCCTTCCTTCCTTCCTTCCTTCCTTCCTTCCTTCCTTCCTTCCTTCCTTTTCTTGAAATTTGGAGTGGCCGGAGAATTTACTCAGTGAGACCAGGCTTAGAGAAGTCCATGTCAGCAATATTGATATCCAAGTTAGGAAGGTTAGGATACTTCCATTCATGGACTCTGTCTTTTTATTCATTTCCATGTGTTATTCCTTTGTATTCTTATCTTTCTTACAGAATTATGAATCCCTGTGAGGGTAGTCACTGATTTTTGTAGTTACCACCATGCATCCCTTACAAATTTGCTGAGTTGTTAGCATATGGTAGTCATCCAGTAGAAGTTTCTGAAATCAAACAGCTGAAGTAAAGATCACATTTCATTTGTTTTAAAATCCCTATTATGTTCACCTTCAAACACTTCTAAAATCAGAATGTATCTCACACTCAGTATTCTCTTATGATTGCTATCAACACGGCAAAGCAGTGATGATCTAACTTGAGAGAAAATCAGAGACCATATTTCTCTGTAATTCTGGATTATAAATGTCCTTAATGATAAAGAAAGATGTATGGAAAACCATAGTCAACAAAGACTGGGATTGAAACAGTTGGGTTGGGGGCACCTGGGTGGCTCAGTCGGTTGAGCGGCCGACTTCGGCTCAGGTCACGATCTCACAGTCCGTGAGTTCGAGCCCCGCGTCGGGCTCTGTGCTGACAGCTCAGAGCCTGGAGCCTGTTTCAGATTCTGTGTCTCCATCTCTCTCTGACCCTCCCCCGTTCATGCTCTGTCTCTCTCTGTCTCAAAAATAAATAAACGTTAAAAAAAATTTAAAAAGGTGTTTAAAAAAAAAAAGAAACAGTTGGGTTGGTTCTGAGTGTGAAATTTTAGGAATAATTTAATCAACTTGTTTTTTTTTTTACTTTCCTTTTTATACATAGTAAATGGTTGATACATGGCTTAAACGAAAACCTAAGTATATACAGATCTGAAACACTGCTTTCAGTAACATTGTATCTCATAAGAAAACACTGTGGTAGCTTAATTGACATTACACTTTACTTTGTAGTGATACATAAAATAAAGGTCCATCTTGCAATTACTAAACATTGTACAGCCTACAATTTGGTAGCAGATAGTGCATTTTTCATAGTGCTTCATTTACATCTAACACCTTGCAATATTTTGAAGAGTATATCTTTGGTCAAGTACCATTTTTCTGAGAATTGGATAAGAACAGATAGCTACGGTCCCTAAAGCCACTGCAACCCACGTTCACAAAATTACAAATGTTAGTGTCAATACATTCAATTATGTTTTGCTTCCATTACAATCCTCCATCATGAGAAACTTTCATTTGCCTGTGAGGCAAGTCCTCTTGGGCATGTGAATATCTATTTTAAATTTAGAGGCATTGGTGTCCTTCCTCCATCCCAACCCAGGACCATGCCAGGTGAGACATGAAGAAACACAATCTCCTTGCACAGTAACTTAACATCCTCCAACCTGCAGGGATAGCATCTCCTTTACATATAGGACCAACACACCAGCTGGCAGCAGCCACACTAGAACATCAACGCTAATGTCAACTTCATGACCCACCTTTTATGTCAATTCCTCAAATAAATTTGTCGGACTTTTCCATGTCTTTCTCTAATCTCTATCTGTTAAAACTTCCCAGCCTCTACAAACTGATGTAAACGTGATTAGATATTTCCTAACAACCTCAGCCAGCACTTACTGCAATTTTTTATATGTCTATAGCTTTTGCTTATGCCTCCCCAACGATGGACCACAGGGCTATTAAGTGAGGTATTTTATTTTCACTGACAGTATAATCCTTGAGGGCAAGGTAATGTTTTGTCAATCTCTATATAATCCTACAATTTACAATTTAGAGCTCCGCTTGTAATAGGGATTCAATAAATGTTTATTAAACATTAAATTGATACATGTATTAAACTTCTAAACTGATATGCAATCTTTAAAATAATGATTAACTCTCTATGCCACATTTGTGTTCTAATGAATTTTTTTTTCTAAAAACATATTATAAAAACTATTCAGTGGAATAGTTTCATAGTATCACTAAGACTATGTTATGGAAACCATTCGATGCAAATATAAAGAAAGCATGGTTATTAAGATTCAGAAATTTTAGTTGCCATTTAGAATTAGACATCATTCATCAACTATAAATAATTTTCTATGTATATTACACATACATGCAATATTTGAGGAAATGTTTTCATACCAAATGTTATTTGCTTTGTGATAGCCTCGCTAACACAGAAATCTATGTGGTAACATTCTCTAGGCCAACTTACCTCTCACAATGATGTTGGTGGACTTTTTTGCAGGGTTTCCCACATTATTATTGGCGATGCAGCTGTAAGTACCGGCATCTTCTGAGGTGATGGCAGGTATGGTCAACGTTCCTCCATTCAAAACTGTCTTTTCAGGCAGAGTCCCAAAGGACCTGACCCAGGTGAGAGTGGGCACAGGCTCTCCTCCTGTCGTAACACATACTAATGTTATGGCCTCTCCAGGATTTACAACTATAGGGTCATCCACCAAGAGTTTAATTGACGGAGATGCTAAAAGACATAAACAAACAAACAAAAAAAACATGCACTATTTAGATCTCCTACAACTGGAATTCAACAGCATGCTTTATATTTATTCAAACAACTAAAATGGCATATTCTTTTCTTTTGCCAAAATCTTACTGTACAATCAAGTTTAAACCAGATATAATGGTTACATATTTTAATTACATGGCATAAACCTGTAGAAGTGCGCTAAGAATCTTACACAGAGAGAGAGGAATTAAAATTTATGTATTCCTGGATTATTGTTCCAAAATTAGAATGACAAGAAAGATTAAGGTTTTTCAGTAAAAATCCCTTTCTCTTTTAATACTGACAATCATTATTTGTTTTTGTTCTCCCAGGTACAAATGTTGCAGCTGTTTAGTCCTTGTATTTTCATAAGGAAGATCATCAATTATTGAATTTGTGGATCATTCTGAGGTGCTATGATATATTTTTGTGCCTGAACCCAACTGAATAAGAGATAAAGGCGTAGATCATTCCAGTCTTTGACCAAGCAGTGGGCCTGGTTTTTGATCTTGAAAGGAATAACAAATCATCTAATTCTAATGCAGTCCCCATACTTCATCTCTAACCTCTCCATTCACAAAAGGTCTAAGACAGTGAGTTCGCGTAACTGCTTTAAAACAAACAAATGAGAGCTCAAACATAGTTGCCAAACTGTGACTCCTGCCACCCTAATGTTTAGGTTATATAATAATCTCCCCAGTGAAAATATTTCCCTTGCAAACTTCCAGGTTAAAAAATATAAAGATAAATATCCATTCAAAAAAATGCTGTGTTAGACTTTTCACCAAACACTCAAAACAGAAACAGCACAAAAACTATCTGTGTTCACATGCAGCACTTTTTTCTGCTTACAATGAAGTGCTGGCCTACACAACGCATCCCTAAATGAAGACGGGGGAATACAGTATGCTGGTGTCTGATCTTACATATGCAGAAATATCTTATACCAAGGTTAAAACTGTATTGTAAATCCACATCAAAAACACATGAAATATTCAATTGTACAGTAATTTTTTTTAACTATTAACTTCAACTTAGAGTAGAGAGTGATTTTCTCAGAATAAAAGGCAAACTTGTGTGGTCCAATATTGTCTTTCCTTGTTAAAACAAAATAAAGCCAAAAAACAGACAAGAAAAACAGAACAAGAAAACAATTCCATATTATTATTATTATGGTTCTGTGGGATGGGCACAAATTGCCTGGATAACATTTTTATTTTTATTTTTTAATTTTTTTTTCAACGTTTTATTTATTTTTGGGACAGAGAGAGACAGAGCATGAACGGGGGAGGGGCAGAGAGGGAGGGAGACACAGAATCGGAAACAAGCTCCAGGCTCTGAGCCATCAGCCCAGAGCCCGATGCGGGACTCGAACTCCCGGACCGCGAGATCATGACCTGGCTGAAGTCGGACACTTAACCGACTGCGCCACCCAGGCGCCCCTGGATAACATTTTTAAACATGATTTTTTGCATGTTGGTCCTTCTAACATCATTTTAAGTAATATGGATGTTTTTCAAAGTGTCTTAATAGCCCATGTGAGGTGTTTACTTGAAATTATAAAGATTTATGATTAAAACTGGAAAACTCACATAGTGAAAATAATATGCAAAAGGCACTGCAGTTTAGTACAAAAGAAAGTTCTGTCAAATAGTTATTTAATATTACTATTTAAATATTTTAAAAATAGATATTATGTCTAAGTATCAATATATTGCCATGAAAAAGTAAAAGAAATCCCCATAGCCGAATGTGGGGTAAATAGCATAATCTCACAAGGGTATTTGGTTAAAGTATAATTCTAGAGATTCCAACTTTTATATCATGCTAACACAGTTCATTTGTTTTACATCATATTTTAGTAAAATTTAAAGTCCCAAGGCTTAACGGCCATTAACAGCATACGTTTGGACTATGGAAATATACAATGGTGACATTAACTCAAGAAATATGTGCCCCTGAAATCGACTTGTATAAAGATGAGCTTCTATTAGTTTCTATTAAAGAAAAAAGCTCAAGAAAATTCCGAAGTTCAGAAAAATAATACATACATAACAAGACCACTGTTTTACCTATAAAGCACTATATAGAACTATATCCACTGTCTTATTTTTTAAAAAATCCTCTCTTTCCCAAATATGAATTAAAAAAAGAATATCGTCCAACTTAGATTTGTTGAAGATGGCATTCATTTTTCTGATTATCCCTGATATTAAAAATACCCCAAGAAGAACACAATAATGGCAAATGATTTCAAGACTTTAAGAATATTCATATATATGTTAACATCAAAATTTTCTACTTTAAATACTGAAAAGGTAAAAGGTAAATTGCTGTCATTTTGTTTTAGTGTCTTACTTTTGATTTTGTAAGTATCAGTTTTTTTAAACTATGAGGTTTTGCTTAAGAACCTCAGAGGCATTAGAATTCACTAGGCTTAAGTGTAAAGCATGTCTTAGAGAAAAAAATTAAAATGGGAAGACTTAAAAATATTTTTTTCTATTATCAAATGTATTTTTAGAGGAGATTTCTTATTGGAAGGATCCTTTGCTAATTTGGAGGTTTATAAAAGAGTAATGCAATATATCCTGGGCTATTTACTCCCTTTTTATAGGTTTCCATAGCCCCCATATTTTTCCCTTTCATATTACATTGTATAATATTAGCCATGTTATCAGAACTGCTCTTGAGCCAGATGTAGTGTGGTGGTTCTATTATCTGAGTGATTCCATTATCCATAAAGTGGTGGGGTGTTTGAGTGGTAAGAGACACGTGGGTTAAAATCTTGACTGTGCTACTATTTAATAGCTGTTTGAACTTAGACAAGTTCTTTTACTTCTTGGTGACTCAATTTCTCATTGTTGAGATGGAGGAAAGCAATTGCTAACAAGCTTATAGCTTTGAGATGCTTTAACATGTCTAAAGTGTTTACAACAATGTCTAGGACAAAATATCCACTGAAAAAGTGATATCCTCTGTTACTATTTTTGTTACCACTATCATAGCCAGGTCCAACACTTAGCACATAATAGGTACTTAATAAGTACTAGAAAGGCAAATAAATAAGGGAGCAAATTAATAAATGAGTGACTGGTGTTAAAAATTTAGTCACTATAAAATTCAACTGTTCTATTTTATTCTGATGCATATGGCTGAGATATTTTAGGATCATTTTGACATTTGGAGGTTTTATACCATGTCATATAAAACACATTTAAAGACATACACATTGTAAGCAAACATGATTAAGCATTTATTAATATTTTAAATAATTTTCAATTTATAATTTAAAACTATTATTTTTCAAAATTCAACATTTTCACAGGACTTTTCAAAGCTTATGAGCAAAAATTATTATACGTATTTCATCATCCACCTTGTGAGTGAATGCTATTTCACAGTGTCCTTAAATTGTCCAACCATCCTGAGTCTGTGCATTATAAGATTCCTCTTTAGCACTTATATAGGTAGACAGGAAATGAGAAAGATAAATCTCATTACACTAAATCATGTAAGTAGCTGAGTGTTCAGTAAATGACTATAGCATGTGTTGGTCAAATTACCACATCACTATATCAATACAAACATGGAAGGCCACAGAGGTCATCAGTCTCCTTACTATGACAAAACTGCAGTGTCCTAAAACATATTGCAAGATCTAGACATCCATACATTCTTCACAGCAACATCTGAGGGACAGATTACCATTTTCAGCTCATTGTTAAGTAATAAAGAAATTAAACATGAAGATTGAAAAAGGGACAAGAGAAACACTGAATGGACAATATAAGTTTTATTTGGGATGTTCATGAAACCAAAGCAAAAAGTAGAAAAAATGAAATACATACAATAAACAAAGGAAATTTTCCAAATTAAGTGAAATTGAATAGAGTATTTGAAACATGTTTTTAGTTATTACCAACACCTGACTCAAATTACATAAAAATAATTCCAACTAAGTCAGCTTTTAACATAGCTCACACATAGATACCACCAGCTATAAAAATTCTGTGTATACGCAGGGCTTATAAATAACTGTGGTGGCATTCAGATTTTCAGAAAGGTAATCTTGCCAGCACTTAATGATGGCCAGCATGGGTTACCATAGGAGTTGTCACAGAGATGTGACTGTCCTCTTCAACATCAGTATGCCAACATTCTAGCATGACTGATGTGCTCTGTGGTAGGAATCTGACTGACTGGTCGATTGATGGATAAATTATTGGTCCTGGGAGAAACGTGATGAAGTAGGATAACAAAAAGAGAGAGAGAGAGAGAGAGAGAGAGAGAGAGAGAGAGAGAAGGGAACGAAGAGGAAGAGAGGAATAACCAGTCTGCTGTCTTTATTTTCCAAAATCCTAAACATTTAACAGAGTTTCAATAACTGCAGTGTGGAAGATGTATTTTAGGAAATATCTTTGAGAAAGGGAATTCTGGCCATATTCCCTTCAGTTCCTCTTCTGGCAAAACAAAAAGAAGAGTTTTCGTGGGCTGAGCAACAGACACTTCAGCGGGTTCCAGACAGAGAGAGGACTGGCCTCTTGGTTCACACACCAAATCCCAAACAGCTGGATATTCAAGAGCAGAGTATCTGTGTATCCCTTCTTGGTCTGAGGTCACTGAGTGTGACCAGCTAGATAAACGAGGACACAGTGAATCTCATGGGAAAAGCTCCAGGCCTCAGGGGAGTTGTCTTCAGCCCCACGATGGTGGAATGGAAGAACAGAGACGCCTCAACTAGCATGGTCTTTGTCTTAGTTTGAGTCTTTCCAAAAATAGGTCCTGATATATGTAGTTAACTTGAGTGCAGATGCAAGGAATCATACTGAAGGAGCAGAAAAGGGGGAAAGGAAAGGGGGAAAAGCCAGTAAAGGAGCACTAACGAGCTGGTCATCTTTGTGGGAACCCTGGGAGAGACTATGGAGAACAGACCTCAAAGCTCTCCTTGTGAAGAGCAAGAAGGCTGTGTGGGGTGT